AAGACATTGACGAAAAACACGCGATTTATAATACGTCGTAAAGGGTCTCGTCGTGAGCCATCGCGAGGATTTCACGGTGGCGGCCCGATGATGAAATGATAAACGCTCGGTAAATGTTGGACTTTAGGTAGCTCTAACGCTTGCTCTCGCGAAATGACGAGACAATCTTGTTACTCGGAATATAAACAGACTTTAGTGGCGATTTTGCCTGGACTTCATAAAGTCTTTATAAGGTAGGACGAATCCATAATCGCGAAGACGCTGTTAAAAGCGTTTAGCGTGAAACGTGTTAATAAATCACGAAGTATATATAAGAAAATATTGCAGGAACACGCGCTACAAGACGTGATTAGAGACAAGTAGAGATTGCTTTGTTAAATGTTGCGTGATTTTCCGGAAACATGGTACTTAAAAAGAATAATTGAAATAACAAATTAACCCGGTGAAAAATTTCTCGACATTATTATGGCGATCGTGATGAGATGCTGTTTCGTAGAGCCCGAGAACAGCAACGAATACTATAGTTTACTATACCTAAAGCAGACCATACACTGTATAATAAAGTTTATCGTGCCCGATAAAAATTTTACGATTATAATAATTCGCGCGAAATTTTTCACGCTTTTAACTCGCATACAGGTAGCAATCCATTCACAATAATATTCGTCAGAAATGATATAAATGAAATTGAAAAAGAGAATAATTCCTAGATATTTTTAAGTTAATTAAAAAAATAACAGCTACTTAAAAGAAAATAAAACGAAATATAATAAAGTCAGTCTAACTACCCGAGAAGTCTTTCCCACGGACGTGATTCATTTCTTTCTGCGAATCAATTTATTTGTGAGAATTGAATCATTTATCAGAACATGTTCTCATTACGAAACAGGCGTAGATCGGCATTTTTCAATCGTTAACCTTGCTTTCAACGCCACGAGTCGTAGGAATTTATCTTTTGATTTTTTTTCTAACAAACGTTCAGTACTTAAGAAAATGAATAGCGAACATTAATTTTACTTAATATTTTAGATTTGTTGTAGGTTTTTTTAATTTATTATAATTCCAATTTTTTTTATATTCTTTATCATGATATAATTCAAATTTATTTCGTCTTTTTAATCACGTATATTTTATTCCTCTCGATCAAAGAAGAATTTATTCACAGGGTTAACGATTTTTACACAAAGTTGTAATAGCGATTTAATTGCACGAGGCTACCAATGTATTTGGAGAAACCAGGAGCAGGCTCCGAAGCACTCGGGACTTCCTCCCATCGGATCGGCCGAAACTTAATTACCTCGGTGGGCTGTATGCGGCACTGCCAGCTACTCGAAGGGTGAAAGGACCGTAGGGAATATTTCCTAGTTTCGACAAGGCCTAATTGCGATTCGACGTGTTCTAGGCAGCCTATCCGACAATAACAGACCGTGTCCGATGCTACTATAATTCTTTTTACGCAGGAGAAAAAAGGCTTCAAGGAGAATTTCAACACGAGTTCTTCTCACCTGTCGAACACCGATCCTCGCAATTCTCAGAAGTAATCTTCGCCCAACACACACATCAATCATTCTTTCGTTTCTTTGATCGCATCGTCGCAAAGTCGATATCGAGCTGATCAGTTTGAAAAGACGGTAGAAACAGCAACGGCCATTTTATCAATACGATAGCGATCAGTATCATCCGCTTGTATCTCGTATGTATATAAGTGCAGATGTGTGTGCAGTGGTTAGGTAGAGCGCTCGAAATGGGGTGACGTTGGCGGGTGAGCGCCACACAGTGGTCGAGGGGTTGTGCCATGGGGCAGAGGGGTGTGTGTGGGTTGGGGGTGGTTGTGTAGTGTGTATTGATCGAGCGAGGAGAAGAGCAGCCCGACTCTCTTTCTCTGTTTCTCTTCCCCTCTCTCTCTTTTTTCTATCGTGTTCTCTCTCTCTCTCTCTCTCTCTCCTCCCCTCCCTCTCTCTCTTACTCTGCTACACTTTGTGTAGGTGTCCATTTACCCTGTATGGTGTTTCGGCCATGCACTACTTTTTTCTCTCTAAGATCTTTTTTGCTTTTCCTTCTTTCTATCTCTCTCTTCTAACTCCCTTCATGCAAATCACCCACCCTCGTTGATGTCCACATGATGGTCAATCGGCCGTTGTTTCTGCCAATCGACAAACACTGACAGCGAATTACAGACATTCGAATATCGGTCCTTTTAACACTCTGTAATTTAGGTTTCTCTCTCTTTCTCTCTTTTCATCGTGGTCAAGTGTTCGTCAGATTTCATTGATTGAAGGGAAAATCGATCGTTATTATTACATGAGTATTAGCAGAATATCGAACGTTGACAATTCGAAGCAGCGGAAATCTGAAATACTAGTTGCAGATTATATTATGAATATTCAGCTTATTTTTTTTCTTTTCTTATTATTTCCTTTTTCTATTATTTGCGACTATTTTTTTTATTTATTACATTTTATTCAATGTTTTAAAAGTACAAAAATATTTTTTCCTTGGCCCGTGCCTTACTTAACGATTTAATTCGCGGTTCCCTAAAAAAGGCGGTGATTTACGATGATAGCAATATAATCAGAAGATAATGATCCGCGTTCTCGAGCAGAAACCATAAAATTACGAATACTGTAATCATGGTGCCGGTGAGATAGACACAGAGGGAGACTTGCCGGCGTAATTTACGGCCAGGTGCGTCAGAAGTTGCTCACCTTACGACCTAATTGGGTTTAATTATACCTAACTGAAAGTTACGGTGATGCGCGCATGTATACACGCCAGTTGGGTTACAATTACCGTCCTCCGGTAGCTGATTTTAGTTATATCGCGCGATCAGTTTATCTGTATCTCTTGCTACTTAACGTGATGTCATTAATATTCTCAAGAAAGTTAGAAAGAGTATAAATACAATTTTTTGAAGATTAATTTCACACGTTTTCTTCTCAACTTTGCACAGCCTCTTTTTTTTATAGAAATTATAAACGGGATATCCCTCATCTTACAAGATGAGTCATGGTCTATTATTATTTTGCTATCGATTCGCGACCATCTCAGATGAATTCCAAAGGTTTAAATCGACTATATCACCGTCACTCAAATCGCCGAGCCTATAATGCCATACGGACCTCGATATGGTCGATCGATGCGACCAGTGTCAATAACCGGATATTCCAGATACTACATCGCAACACCTCACCAATCCAGGGATTAACAATATTAATAACGATCCGACTATATAACATTATCGCGGTTCGCGATCGAGAATCGAATTAACGTTCTTGTGAAATGAATTACGTCAATGCGTCAGTATTGCGATTTCATTCTATAAAGCTGTAGTCCATTCGATTTGATGCGGCCGAATACGAGATTATTATAGATTAATTAATAACCCGTTTAATATCATTGAGAGCGCGTCGATATTCGTAATTCGATAAATCGTATATCCGATTATCGGCATCGTATCTATTCGTATATGAGCGAAACGGAATGTAAAGACATTGAAAGAGTCTCAAAAGTATTGATTGACGAGGAATTCTGAATATTTCAACGAAATTTATTTGTCCTGTACCACCCTCGTGTTCTAAGAAAATAATACAGTAAGCCTTCCCCTTATTAACGAAACTTCTGGCGAATTTCCAAAACACCTTCATGTTATTCGTAATCCATATACATACTTGCACAAAATTATGTTGTTTGACTTTGCGTGTCATAATGCGTGTCATTTTTACTTTTTTAAATTAAATTACATTGTTTACCTTTTCTTTATACAGAGACTACACGAGCTTTTTCAAAATTATTTTTACTTCATTTATTTGTATTTTTTTGATCATTTTTTTCAACCTTGTATATTTTTTAATCATTTTTTTTTTCAACTTTATTTTATTTTCCTCAGTGTGTTACAATATGCGGAAAAGTTTGAAAAATTTTTTCCAACTACATAGCATGCAATTATTAGTTTTCTCTAACTGCAAGCAACAAAGTAGGTTCATCAATTAGCAGCACGTACGCGAAATTATCGTGATTATTATTATGTAATTAAGATAATTAGTAAAATCGAGAATAGAGTGAGTATAGCGATGCACTGTTTGCATCTGCTCGATTTTTAATAAATATTATACAATAAAAAATGGTGCAATAATATAGTAGTAATCCAAATTCTTGTTAATAACTTGTAAAATTGTTCCAAGATTGCAATATATGATGCAAGAATTAAAAGTTAAAAAAAGAAGAGATAATGCTATTCATTTAATTTATTTTAATTTATCGAAACTTTTAACATGAATGTATTTCAAGTGCAAAGTAAACAAAGTTTCCTATATTGAGGGAAAGTTTTCGCAAGCTCTCTCTCTCTCTCTTGCGAGTAATTCGTTATAACCCCGCGATTAAAGGCCTCAAAGTCCAGAATCCGTACTTCTTGAATACGTTCAAAAGGAACGTCGGTCCTTACACACTCTTAATACCCGAACGATACTCAGGAGAGGCAGCTGGCGTTAGTCAGCAAACCGCTCGGCTAATCCCTTAATTACGTCGACATGGTTAGCGACCCTGTAGTAACCGCGTCGGTACCTGGCATTGTTTCTCGATCGTTAATTAAAATGCCACATTCGTGCCATTGCGCGATTCCCGAACGAAGAAGCAAATGCATTCAAGATAAAAATGTATTCTGGAAATACCAAATTTTAAATATTGATTAATGCTTTACATATCTAAGAGGTCACATTTGCAAAAATAAATGTATAAAACATTAAAATTATCTCTATAAAAAGTGTATAAAATGTATTACTTAAATATCGGATTAACCCTTAAATGTTTGAAATCTTTTTATGGCGAAAAAAATGAATCGAATAAATAAAAAAGGATATTGAAAACGTGTCAGATATGCATTTAAGGGTCAATCAGTGATATTTATCCTATCGAGGCTCGCGATAGGCATCATCATCATCATTACGTCCGTCCGGCAACAATTCATCCCCTTGTAATACGTTGCATGAACGATGCTGATTCAGGTACGGCTGCGAGGGTGTGACGGAGTCCGCTCTCGTCGACGACACCCTCAACGGGAATCCCCGCTCGTCGTCCCCGTCGTCGTCGAGCGCGATCCTGCCTCAATCTCACACCCTACAGTCGGGATCGATCGACGCTACGGACACTTCCGGGTCGAGAAAGTACGTACGAAACACTCGTGTGGTCTCGTGGCACCCATTCCCTCCTGCAGATGATCGCCCGCTTGTTACCACTATACGTCGCTTCTCTTTTGTGTGTTTCAAGTTGCCGCTTTTGTTTGCCGTTGTAGTAGCGAGAATGCCCTGTCGCGAAACGAAACACCCGAGTTTCACGTAAACAACCCTCCGCTCGCGCAGATGCGAGTTATTGTGTGTAGACTCACCTGTCTGTTCGTGTACTCACGTTGTTGTATATCATATTGCAATGCTGCGTGGCAGCTACAACGAATATCTCGTATTTGAAGAATGAATCGCGAACGTTAAATCGAGAAAAATCCGCACTGATATCAGACATCACTTTGCTCACTTTAATGGAACTACGAGTAGTATGACGTGTATCACATGTATTGTGTGTATATATATATATATATATATATATATATATATATATATATGTTTTCCTCCATAAAAATTTCTTGTTCGTAAAAATATACGACTTACATCTCGCGACATTTCACGCGCAAGCAACAGTGATTTACGATAGGATTGCGAAACAATCTTTCACAATTTTCCATCGTCGATAAATACCGTTTATTTTTATATATAGATTTTTTCTCGGTTTCGATGTAGCAACTAATATCTGACTACTAGTAGAAATTGGAACTTCAGATCCTCTTGTATTACAAAGTAAAATAAACTTCTTGCTACGAGTAGGAACGTTGCTCCTTTTCACTTCATAAAATATATAGTAATCGGATCCATGATAAAAGCAAATGTGAATAACCGGATTAAATTTAATAGATTAAATTAATTTAATAGATAGAAAAACGACTGCTGGTATTGCTTTTTGCTGTAGTATCGCACTTATTTTTTGTGTGTGAAATTATTATTCTCGCTGGTTATAATTCTTTACGGACGTTGAGCTTAATGAACTGTGGCAAATAATATGAAAAGTGACGAGTGAGTTAAGCTATCTTGATATTATTGTGTAACTCTTTGAAATCTTTTAAATCCCTCCCTCAAAAAAATTACACACGTTCTTCTCATATTTACATAATATTCCAAATAAAAGTAAACTTCGAACTGTTTTTCCCTCCCCTGGAATAAACACTTGACAAACGCGACAGACACCTGTTACAGTGTCTTCATTGCATGTATACAGGTCATCCTTATTCACCCCAATTCTGTATAAAGCCCTTGGCCCCTTTTATGAATGTGCACGATACATAATTTTACATCAAGTTTCAAGTACGAAGCGCTATTTCTCCTCGTTCGCTCGCGAGGGATATTTTATTTTACAGCCCTCGTAAAAATAATTTCCTACTGATCGGCTCGTGTCGCGCCCGATTTCGATTAGCACGCGAGGATTTCTCGTGACGGCGATAACGGGGGGACTACATCGTCGAGAATCAATAGTGGTTTACGAGCGAGATGGCACGGCCTTCAGTTGGACGATCTAACGAGGGGAAATCAATTTGTCATTCCGTCGTAGATGACGATCGTCGCGAATGTTCACCGACGTTCGCGGGACGAACGAACGCGACCGGACAATGACGCGATAAATCAAGCCGTTTATTTCGGCGATCGAGATTCGTCCTGAAATGTCGTGTACTGAAATTCCCTCAAGTCACGCGAGAATGCAAACTCGTGGAGTTTCGCGATATAATAGAACGAGAGAAAGAGAGGGAGAGAGAGCGGAGAGACTTTTTTGAGCGAACAACCTTGTCGCGTGTGACCGCCTCCTCGTGATGATGCGAGACTGATTGAAACGAGCATAGGTCATAGTACAGCCGAGAATAGCAATCGCGAGTGTGGACGAAATTTTTATATTTTAAAATAGGGCCGATAAGTAAAAATGATTTTTTCTCTCACGAAGCTTTGTATATTGCTGTAGTGAAGCTTATAGCTTGCACTGTGTATCGCTGATTTCCTTGTTGAACGAATAAGAGCTGTGATTCCCTGTTTCCGTTGCAATTCTTATGGCCGATTATCGATTTTGACTGCTAATCTTGATTCTCTTTTCACTTTTCTTTTTTAATATTGTAGGTGCACGCCAAAAAATTCAGAGAATTAAGATATATTTATAAAGATACAATCAAATCACAGACGGATTTATAATGTTTGTATTTCTTAACAATCTTGTCTATATATTTTATATTTAATAAAAAAGATAAAACTATAATTCTCGGTATAAATCATAATTTATGCAGATAAAGAAAAAATTATGAATCCGATCTATGATCTGGAAAGATAATCAAACGACAAAAAATTCTAAAAGATGTTCAAGTCCTCTAGACTTTCTTGAGACGTCTTTTAGATCACTCCTAGATTTTGGATATTGCCGCTTGATATTCGATAGATATCGTCGCGATGACGCGACCAAACTTCTAGATTGAACCTATCTTTCCTGACCCTCGATTTTTCTTGGCTTTGCGCTTCAGTTATTGCGAGAAACCTGACAACGAGACCACAGAAATGGGTGGTGTGCCACATGTGGAAGGTGGTCTGAACAGCGAGCTGTATGCGGTGCCGGTGAAACGGCGACAGCCAAAAGATCAGAAGAACAATGCGATTCTGCAGAACAATACCCAGGAGAAACCGACGGACGTGGATAGCACTGATTCTGAGGATAAAGATGAGAATCTGCCACCCGGCTGGCAAAAGCACGAGGGTAAGTCGAGCAAAAGGTTGAAACGGTATTTCCAAGTATTTTCAAATCGATACATGAAAAATCGTTTTTAAATAATCCTTATATTTCAAAATAACTCCTAAATTTAAATAATTCTGCAGACAAAAAGTCACTAGAGATTAAGATAAATTCAATATAAAAAAATAGTATGTAATAATAATTAATAGTTATATAATAATAGTTATTATATATAATAATTAAATTTATATTAAAAATATAAATTTTAATAAAGATATATTTTGATATTTCCCTCTTCTATTAGTTCTTTCAAGTTTTTTCGAGGTTTTTTAATTTTCCATAGCTTCTTTCATTAATGAATTTGATAAGAACGATAACCGAAAATATGCGACTATTATAAATTGAAGCTTTTAAATTTTATTAATGGAAATCGAATATTGTTTCAGATGAGAATGGGCCTTATTATTGGCATGTGAAAAGCGGCAACATACAGAGAGAACCACCAGAGGCTCCGTTGCATTCAAAAACGGAAGCGCGTCGGAGTCTGGTCAAGGATAATGATAGCGTGAGTAGAATGGATCTATTAAATATAATTTCATAATTATTATAATTTACTGATATTAATAATACTAATATTATTTATTGATATTAATAAGAATATAAATTATTTTATATTTATATAATTATATATTTTATTTGCAACGTTCTTTTGTTTTAGATAAATAATTTTCACTCTTTGAGCGGCATGGTGAACACAGTGACTCGCAGCAACACAAGCTCGGCTTTGGACCAGGAATTGGAAAACAAGAGAAAGGTGGAATTGGCGCTCAAGTAAGCGAATACCGCCTCGTTTTCGGTTGTCTTTGTGGCGATTTTCATCGATTTACCTCACTTATTTCTTTCAGACGAAGAAGCTATCCCGCTAGAGCGGATTCTGAGGGCAGAGACAAACCGATCAGATTCGCCGTGCGATCCTTGGGTTGGACGGAAATTGCGGAAGAGGATCTGACACCCGAAAGAAGCAGCAAGGCCGTGAATAAGTGTATCGTGGATCTCTCACTTGGTAGAAACGATCTGTTGGATGTCGTTGGACGATGGGGCGACGTAAGTTCTTTCAGAAATTAAATAAATTAAATTTGCGCTATTAATGATAAATTTAAAAAACGAATAATAAGAAAACCGATTTCAATGTGATAGAATTTAATAAAGTAATAATCTGTGTGTGAAAGTATATTTAGAACACTTAATAATATATAATACTAATATCGATCTTGCATAAACACGCGATGAGATACATTACGAAATATTTCAGGGTAAGGATCTATTTATGGACTTGGACGAAGGGGCGCTCAAGCTGATCGATCCAGAGAATCTCACCGTACTAAATACGCAGCCTATTCATACGGTTAGGGTATGGGGTGTAGGAAGAGATCATTGTCGGTGAGTGAATTATTAATTTTATCTTCAAATGAATCGAAAGACTGTTCCGGAATCTCGAATATCGGATTTTTCAATCTTTTTATTAAATATTACACATATATATTATTATGCTAACATGTATATCCGCATTGTTTTCATGATTATCTGTTTTCCTTTGGACGGATCTAATAGCGAAAGGTAAGATATACGACTTGATACAAATTGCATTATGTAATAAAATAGAAATTCTAACTTTCTTCATAAAGTTAATCATCTTCTGTTTGACAACAGAATTTCGATTGTTAATTAAGTCTATATTATCTTTTCCAGGGATTTTGCTTATGTGGCAAGAGACCGATCTACCAGGAAACACATGTGCCACGTGTTCCGTTGCGACATACCAGCGCGCACGATCGCGAACACGCTTCGCGACATTTGTAAGAAGATAATGATCGAGCGTTCGCAGCATCAGAACCTAGCGAAACCGGTAGACATCAATGGTCGGACCAGTCTGGCTACAAGACCCACCAATCTGCCTACTGAACATCGGCGTTTTCACAGAAACGGTCAAGCACTAGTCAGTAAGTAGCTTTAAAAATCAAATCTTTTTAACTATCTTTTCAATTTTACTATTTCTTTAAATAGCAATTGATAAATCATCAAATACACATAATTAAAAGATAAATCGTTAATAATAGAATGATAAAGACAAAAAATTCTTAAAGAAGAAAATTTTAAAATTATTTGAAAATGAAAAATAGATTTTAAAATTGATTTTAAAATAATTGTTGTATTATTTTTGCATAGCACAATCTTTTCCAACGCCGATGGAAGAGCCAAAAAAGGTGCTACGAGCACAGTATCTCGGATCCATGCAAGTCAATCAAGCGACTGGCATGGAGGTGTTGAACGAAGCGATAGAACATATCGTGACGAACACGCCGATCAATCAATGGCGAAACGTCAACGTTGCTGTAGCTCCTAGCATGATTTCTATTCTTACGCCGAACGTAAGTATATTAAAAATATTAAGAATTGAAAAATTATTAAAACCGATAAATTAGTAAAAGAGCGATTTCGATATTTAATATCATAATAATTTTATTGTATTATAATCTTCTCAGGACGATAAGCTCATTACCGAGTGTCGAGTACGCTACCTGTCATTCCTTGGTATCGGTCGCAACGTGAAGCAATGCGCTTTCATCATGCATACCGCGCAGGATTTGTTTATCGCACACGTTTTCAACTGCGAGCCTAGCAGTGGAGCTCTCTGCAAGACGATTGAGGCCGCGTGCAAAGTGAGGATTCTTTTTTATGATTCTGTAAATTTGCCCTTGTTAAAAGAAGGCAATTGAATTAAGAAGTCTGCATTTTTCTAGCTGAGGTATCAGAAATGCTTAGACGCACATCCACAGGGCTTCAGAAACGCTAGCAGTCTTAATACTCCGAGTGGCAGAGGGTTAGGCGCTACTTTGAAGTCCCTAGTTGGTTCCTTGACTGGTCGTAGAAACAAGCAGGGTGAATCCTGAGACGAGGCTCTCTCGCTGCAGGTAAACTACTTTCGGATTATCAAGATTCATATCCTTCCAACATTAAAAACTTTTTCAATTAATTAATAATTTTTTTCAGACTAATAATTTTTTATTAATTAATAATTTTTTTCAGACTAATAATTTTTTATTAATTAATAATTTTTACAATTTTAATATAAAAATATCTTTCTTTTGAAATTCTTTTTAAACTATAAAAAATTAATCGGAATATAAATATATGTGTAATAAATAATTTAAAACGAGTGATTGGATATTTTCGATTAATCGAATCAGTTCCCCGACTATCCGGTAGGAACTCTGGCCATTGCCTGCTGAGCGAGAGGTGATACGACACAGGCATCTCCAGTCGCCGTTGACCCTCAAATATTTCGGTGGCTCACCGCCGAGCGCGTCCCTCAAGTCGCTGCTCTCGCCCTCTCTGGACACCAGGCGTATTCAACTTGCCCGCTGGGAGAGCAATCCTTAAAGAAACGCGAAAAAAAGCCTGATGTGCCAGGAGATGGCTGTAAGGCAAACGGATATTCTCTTTACGACGTAAACGACTGAATTTCGCGAAAAATTCTGCAGAGTGTTATACCAGTACCACAGCTATAGTGGACTACGCTTACCTATGTCGATATGATGTTATGTATGTTATGCAATGTCTGATGAAGGAGGAAAGAATTCGCAGATTTGTCGAGAGACAGGAGCGATATCGGGGCTACATCGCGCATCAAGCGATGAAAATTTTTAAGAGACAGCATGTACTAGCTTGTGAAGTATTTGCGGAAAATCGATAGAAAGAAAGATTAAGAGAAAAAAATGGAATCGAAGAGTAAATTGTACATACAAGGTGATGATTATGCGCTAAATTTAATCAACTCGTTTGCTCGAATTGGCAGGGGAAAGAGGAGGCATAACACGCCCATAAGATTTCGCAAGCGAATCGAGTTGCGTGTATCGGGGAATGAGTGAGCTGCAGTTAACGTAGTAGTAAGCATAATATCCGCGAAGGCATTCGAGGAGATTCGAAGAGAGCTATAGAGAGCTTGCGTATATATATATATATAAATACATATAAATATTATATATATATAACTCACGTGTGCGTGTATTCTCGGGTGTACAGATTAGGCAAGCGAGACGAGGGCGATGACCGGGTCGCATGGGACACACGCGTACATGCGTGCGAAGAACGCACTTCCGCACACACACCAGCACGCGCACCGCGACTGTATCGGGTATCCCGCGGACGTACCGCGCATATTTTCGGCGACGAGATGCGCGATAGATCCCGGGAAACCCCGGTAGACATACACACGCGCACGTTAACACGACGGCCGATAGGGAGTTTATTTTTTATGGCGAATTAGTAGGAGCTTTAAAAAAAAAGCAGAACTTGCAGCACCTCGGAGATTACGGAGCCGATACGACAAATACTTATACCGCGACCGTCCTTTAGACTTGAACCGGGGGGAGGGCAGCAATTAGGCGAGAGATCAGTGGGTGCGTAACGTTATCGAACACGCGATCGTAGTTGGTCGTTTCATGCGCAATAATCGCGCATTATCCGACACTCAAGATGCGAAATTAATGTGTCCGCGCGATAATAACTGTTTAAACCGAATAACAATAGTATTAATAATTATTATCGATGATAATTATTCTTCTCGTAAGTGCGAACGGTAAATGATAATTATTATCGCTAGACGCATCATAGCGCAACGTATTGCAGCTGAAAAATCGTACGCATATCAGGCCATTGCAATTTTTCCGATCGCTATTCAGAAGGATAGACGCATGCGAGAGATGTATGTTCGTACAAAAACAGTTGTTAAAAGGAGTCAAATACAACTTAAGACATGTTCCACGCATCTATACACATACTAGCCCTACTTAAGTAGGAACACGTAGCCAAGCATGAATTGCATCTCGCACTAGCGATCGCCGCTATTAGTAGAATTTAGTAAACGATTCAGGCACGTTTCTGTGGTAATATTTAAATTCGATCGCATCGCACCGCAAATCCATAATTCACGTATACACTTACAATTTACACGCGTGCGTACTGATGACGATTATAATGAGACTCCCCGCTGTTGCTGGTTCGAAGATGGAATACACTGAGACAGAATATGTGCTCTCTTTTCGCGCAATTTGCACCTAATTAATTTTAATCCATTTTTATTTTATAATGCTCACGCGAACAGATTGCTGGGTATTTTAAGATTTATTATAAATAATTGATAATAAATAATTATTATGAAAATAAATTATTTAATTATTATAATTATTATAATTATTATAATTATTTCTTTTCGACATAAATCCAAGTAACACTTATTAATGATTATATTTAAAAAAAGAATATAGCGATAAAGTAATTGAAATCGCATCATCCTATTTTCCTTGAAAGAATCCCTTTTTATTCAGAGAGCGCAATTCTTGTCGTCCTACGAGGACGGTCACGTCGTACGAGCCATCGTCGTTGCGAGAGATACAAAGTTGTGCGGGACCCAGAACGAAGATATTTCTATGTAGCACTTTAAGTAAAAAAAAAATAATGCAGAGAAGCGGAAATAAGAGAGGCGAGATATAATAGAGCGTTGCGGGAGAGTGTGCGTGAAAGGGTGAGTTTGCATGAAGTATGCTGCTGGTCGGAAAGAGCGATATTTACTATTATTATGTAAATAGTTTATCGCGAGATCTTTCTTTTGTTTCCTTTTGTATCGCGAGATAGACGCACGATGACATCTCGATAAGCGCGCGAGTGAATTCGATTGCACGTGCGTCACGTAACTTTATACAGTGAGTTTTAGAGAAGAGAAATCGCCAGTATCGCGAGTTTGTAAAACATGGGATCGAAAGAGCTTAGCGAGAGTTTGTTCTGCGAAATTAAAATTCCTTGTCTTTATAATTAAAGATTTCACTCGACTATTCTCGCGAATCTGCGCTTTAATGTATTTTATTTCTACAATTATGAAATTGATTGCCGATCTCTCGCGAATTTTAAAAATATAACTTCGCGGACAAATTTTCATTTATCTCTCTTAATTTGTGCGTTTTTTTTTTCTTTTTTATTTTGGAAGAACAAAAAAAGCATGAGAGAAGAATTATAAATGGTGTGGATGTAAATATAATATTCACGTGTAGAGAGTAAGGCCGAAGCTATGGAATTCAATTGATACACATACATTCACATCGCTGCACCGCACTGCTCACGTGTCGATGCATTATCTCACTTTCTCATACACACACACACACACATACACACACGTACATACACATATTCTCAAGTAAATATGTGTATACACATATGCGCGTATACAGAAGAAAGCAGATCATACACAAATTGCGCATAGCTTAACTGTCTCTTTATATAGGTGTTGACACGTCGTCACGGGAAAAATAATCTCGGATGAGGGGATAGGTCAGAGGAGAAGGGTTCGAGTGGTAAAACATGACAGGAGCCACTTATAATTGACATAGCATAGCGAACCTTACTGTATTTACCGTGACATGTAATACCTTTAACGAGAAAGAAATGCGAATCTACTGATAGAAAAGTTATTCTGCACAAAAACATGATGCTTCATTAATAATTACAGTGTTTCTATCTCTCTCTCTCCCTTTTTCTCTCCTCTCTTTTTGCCTCCCTCTCTCCTCTCTTTTCCTCCCTGTCCCCTTTTTCTTCCTCTTTCTCTTTCCCTCTGCCCTTCTCTCTTTCTCTCTCTGTTTTTCTATTGAGAAAAATACGTATATTTATCTACCTTTATACTAATTACTCTATTAATTATTGTTTCTCGACATGAAGGTATTCAACAACTTGTCATTATTACAAATTGATTACAGATTACATACTTTTTATAATTATTCACGCTCTATCGCCGCTGAAAGCCTCATTGTTATTACATTGTTGTCATGATCATCATCGTCGCGTTACTATAGAAAACAAATTTAAGGAACCGCCATCGTCGTATTGTCATACTATATATTATATATTGTTATCACCGATTTTTGCAAACGGAGGAGGGGATAGCGCAGATAAGTTAGATGATTACCGATGCAACACTTTTATAGGGATCAATCGCCGATTAGAAATGAAATGAATGAGAGAATCCTCTTCGATACGGAAATTTACATAAATCATCGATGATTGATCCTTCTTGGCAATTTAATACACTAATTTATCCGTGAGACTCTCCCCCTAACGATACTCACCTGAGGTGTCGCGAGAATCGATCCTTGCGAGACAATTCGGGTGAGAAGCGCTTTATAAAAGGTAAAAGGAAGCGAGAAAAAAAAGCACACCCGCTCCGCGAGTACGTCCGCGTTCCGAGTGATTCGTCGGGATCGAGATACGACGAATTACATTAAGCGAGTGAAACGAACAGCGAGATTTTATCTTGACACAAATACATTCACACACGTACACATATATAGAATTTTATACGGTGGAATCTCGCTGCGTCGAAAATAAAATAAGAAAAATAAGAGGCGAATAAGACGGATGAAAAACTGCGCGTATTTGTGTGCGAGAGAACAAACACTTTGTATGTGCACCCGCCCCCATTGTTCATGCCCATTTGTATTGCGTAGTTAAACCGAATCAAGTAATTACGAGTAATTACGAGAGATGGTTACGAGATACTATTATAAATATAAAATATATGTATATACATATATATATATACACATAATTATGTATATGTGTGTATATATGTATACATATAAATGCAAGACAGAAATGAAATTACTGTAACTACACCTGCCTCTTGTGAATAAATGCCTATTTGTTTCTTTTCACGTGTCTCGTTATTTCCAGCTTATTGAAAAAGTATAGTAAGAAAAGAGGTAAGCTGAGAATGGCTAAGTAAATAATTAATTTATTAAATAAGTAATTAATTAAATAATTATATAAAGAGAGATAACAAAGGGAAGAAAAGTTGATGGAATCACAAAAGATAAATGTTCGCAAAACAGATTTTATTAAATAAATATCGCCACAATTGATCAGATCGAGAATTGTACAATTATTATACAGTTTCGACGATGTGTATCCTCACACTCGGGAAATATTAATATACAAACGATTCTATATATGCGATGCCATGCACACGTGTTCGTACGATGTCTACATACACGTGAAAAATCACACGTGCTATCAAACGCATGTCATATTATTGTTCTTTAAAGTCGATTATTCGCTAGAGCTTAAAATATAAAGGGTAGAATCCTCAAAGAACATGGTTGCACACACACATACACACACGCACACATACGCATACACAATCATTGTTTAATATTGTAAAAACCTTCCAGTGATATTACACTATCGTTAAAATATCAGAGATCACGGTTGGTTCGATCGACTTTTAACAATCATTTCTTTTTTTCGATGTATAGCGAATAATTCATTGGTCCCGTAGGACGGAACGATGGACGGATAGTAATTATTCGTTGTCATTGTGATAATTCAATCAGTCATTCAAGCCCATGCCGAATCATTTACATGCGTAATATACCAATTTGTAAGTTCCAAATCTCATAATTCTTGGGAATTGTTATTAATATTCGCAATTTAATCTACTAACGGAATTTAGAAAATTTTAACTTTTTTTTAACATGAATATTAATTATTCTTAAAAAGATGTGATAACGCATCCATTTAATATGTTAAAAAAGGTACAAAATTTTTGAAAATGATTCTCTAAGTCACAGCGTATCACAATATTTCGTATTAATAGTAATTTCGTATCTCTCTCTCTTTATATCACGGAAAAAGCGGAGCACGAAGAACTCGAGTGACTTCGTTTGCGCTTTGTCATTCGATTAGTTGATTTATTTTGCTTCGAAATAAAAGGTCTTCCACTTAAAGATCGTTTCTTGCTGTGAAGAACGATTTGTTCCACGATGATGATGCGCCCTCGCGCGAAAGAAAGAGCGGCTGCGCTTCGACCCTAATCACTTTTGGCGAGACTGCTCAAGATTATCTGACACATTAATCCTTTTATACTCTTGCGCCAGGTTTAAAGATGGTTTAAAATTTTTTTCTGTCTGAAGTAAGAGTCGTGATCAATCTTGTCTAGAGTAAAGCTCGATTGTAGATAATGTTCCTCCTAATCTTTAAGAATAAAAATAAAATATGATAAAAACAAAATTACAAGATTAGAAAAATGTTTGTAAAAAGAATTTCAGATTTAAAAGTAGCAAATATATGAAGAACATGACTTTTTAAGAATTTGAAATATTTTTAAAATTAAATTTTATAATTAAATTTCAATTTCTCTCTCTCGTAAAAAATATCGATTTCAAGAAAGAAACATTAAGAAATAAGAATTATTTTTGAGAAGAGAATTATTCTTGTTGATTCTATTAGTAGCACAATGCAATTTTATGCCATCTTTTTGCATCAATAGACGCAAACATTGTATCAATAGTGTACAAACTTAAATGAACAGTCTCTGATAAATTACATCAATCAAGCCGCTTGATAAAAAATGATACGTAAAAACTGCGACTAATCTCAAGACACGAGGATGAAAAATTCATTCGCGACAATTTAACGCGAAAATTATTCGAGAAGAATCGCGATTCGTGACTTTCCCTAGTTGAAAAATCGATCAGGGAAAGTGGAATGTTATGTCTCTTCTTGCGAGCAACGATAAATGCACCTCACTTAAATTCCACTTTGTAATCGGTGTCGACATGCGGGCATCAGCACCGATATAATAGACTCCCCAAGTGTCTCGTCGTGAATAATGTGAATATTTGTCGCATACGTTATATATCTACAGATTGCAACATTTCATATCGGAGCAAATTCCAAAATTTTCCCTTTACCCTAAATCCAGTTACATTTAATTCGAGAGCTGCTAATCTTAGTCTTTCTAATTACAATATCGTCAGTTTAAGATGGATCCAAATTCGATATCTACCTGTCTATCGCAACGTATTTGATGCGAGAGGCATGAGCATAAAGTCATTTAGAATGATTTTAAAAGAATGGCAGAAGATGATCGGAAATATTGTCCCTCTTCACATCTTAATTGAGCCAAGTGTCCACATCCAATCGTCCTTAAAAGAGTAAGTACACCTGAATCCACACAATCTTCTCTCTCTCCTTTTATCTTTCTCATTTTATGTCTTTTTCTATAATAAGATAGCTACGCAGGAACCAAAAGTACAGTCTACATCAGTCGCGATCGCTCCAGTTCAATGCAACGAAGCCATCGCGCTACGTCACTTTCGTCAAAACAGACCAAACATCTTCTTCGTCGAGCCAGTGCTCCTCTTCTTCCTGGCCGGTGCCGACATATCCGAATTTTCGCCATTTCTCGTGGCGACGATTTGCGAGGCCGGGGTCAGTTTGCTTCGCACATGCTCGTCGAGGAGCATTTGCACATCCATTTGCCACTGTTCCAGTTGCTGACTCAGTTCGACTTTCTGCTTGATCGCCTCCTTCAGCTGGCTGTCCGCCTGGAGAATATCTATTCGTGTTCTGGCCAGTTCCACTTCCACCCTGTTCTGCCTGGCTACCGCCTGATCCCGCACCTTGTAAGCCTTCGCCACGATCTCGTCCTTTGTCAATTCGGAGTGCTCGATATCGCACCTGGCCCGGTCGCGTTCTTCCTTGACGCCGCGCAGCTCTGCCTCGCAGACGCTCAGTTTGCTCGTCAGTTCCAGAATCGTGTCACCGCGTCGCTTTAGCTCATCCTCTTGTATTCTACATTGTTCTCGTGAAAGCTCCAGTTCCTCCCGTACCCTGTGCAACTCCACCGCCAGTCCTAGTTCACCAGGTGCTCCTCTGCCCGACAACGCGAGATTATAAACTTCTTCGACCAACTCCAGCAACGCGCCCGGGTAATTTGTCTAGAAAAAGAAAATGGTTCAAATTTTATAAATATATGTTTGTTGAAATAAATACGAGAATAATATTATATTTATGTAGGAAAAATCATTCACCGGCGAAGGATGAGCTTCCCGTTCATTGGTGTTCACTTCTGATTCGGAGTTGTTGAGATTGATCACCAGCATAGATTCGTCGCAGTCGCTCTGTAAACCCGAGTCATCTTCACCACGTCTCAAGTGAGCACATAGCTCTTTCAGTCGCTTCGTCGCTCTTGCCACTTCCGTCTTCAAACTTCTATCTTCCTGTTCCTCTAGCGAGTTGCTCTCCTCGCATTCCATCTCTGCTTGAAGGGATCGCGGTGGCTTCTGTATCGAGCCAGAGCGAGCCCTTCTTTCTACCTCGATGGCTGCTAATGCTGATGATAGTTCATCTCTAAAAGTAATATGTATGTATCATAAGATTAGATGTTATACAAAGAGAATCTCGAAAAGCTGTCTGAAGAATACCTTTAGACTCTACGAGTATTTTAATAGTTATCGATTGTATGATCATTAATAATATTTCAAGTGTATGATCAAATCAGTATAAAATAGCAAAAGAATAATATCAGGTATAACATAAATCAATATAGATCTAACGAACGAGACGGCTTGATGTTTCGCTAAATTCTATTTAAAAGGCGACTGTCACGTGGTCCATTCTTTGGAGTTCTCGTGAAGATCGACGAAATCTAACGCTCAATCGAACGTTATCCGCGTTACCGCGTTATCCGCGTTAACTGAACCATAATAGTTGCATGCAGATTGCGAATTCTGGGTTTTACCTCTCCTGCTCGGCTATTCTTGCGCGGTGTTCCGCCTCGTGGCCGAGCCGCTCCAAGGCCGCAGCTCTCTCCTCGGCTTCCTCGAGAGCTGCGATCGCTCTAGCCCTCTCTTCTCGCAGTTCCAAGGACCGCCTTTCTAGTTCGGTTCTTTGTGCCGAGACCAGTTGTACCTGAAACAACGAAAGTAAGATTCGTGTGATGCAATATATTAATAGTCATTTTTTATAACGCAATTTTATTCTTTCGAGTCTTTGTTCTACCTTAGCTTAGGATTGTTTTTATCTCGGAATTGCTTAAAAATATTAGAGGCATAATATAATAAATATAAAATATAATTTATCATATATATTATTTATATATATTATTTATCATATATGTATATATAATTAATATATATTTTGTGACTCGAAATGCATTTTATTTCAAAATTATATTACTTTATTTTTATATATCTATATGGGACAGAGAGATAAAATATATGCGCTTCAAACACATATTCCTGAGACTTAATATCCGGTTACTATAGTAAAGTGAGAAGAGAGGGCGAGGCGAATCGAGTCGATCGATCGAAGGTCACATTTACTTTTATTCGAGCATTTTCTCACAGATTATAGCGTAAATTCACGTGCGAACATGAGCAACAATTACTGACTTCCTTTTCATAAAAAGGATGTGAATTATTCAGTAAGCCCTAACTGGGAACCGCGTTCGGCTTCTGATGGATAATGATTAATAATGGTAACTTCCGCTCTTCGCGGATCGATTAGGCAAAAAGGAAATTCTAGGTAGGAACTTATAACATTAACGAATCGAGAAAAAATGATTGCAAAAAGCGAGCCTTTTGTATGCAAAATAGGATTAATTATACGTAATTATGCGTTTGGGTCAAGATCAGGAATTCATATTCACCTCGTCCCTGAGAATCTCCAAGCTACTGACGTGATCCTGCAGGGTCGTGCTCCTGAGAGCGCATTTTTCCCTCAGGATTTTCATCTCGGTAAGCAATTGCTCTTCCTGTCTGGCGGCTTCCCTCAGCTGATCGGCCAGTCTTGTATTTTGCGCTGTCAACTCCGCAACAAGAGTGGCTTGATCGCGTTCTGCTCTCCTTGCCCTCTCATTTTGCTCCTCTAACTGACTCCTGAGAGTTTCTACGTCGCCCTGAAGCTCCAAGGCTCTTGCTTCGCTATCATCTCTAGCTTCCTCGAGTTTCCTTCGCAGTAGATGCCTTTCTTGTTCCAAACTCTATGTAAAAATATTATTTTAATATTAGAGAAATGTGAATTTAATTTTTCTTTTTTATTAGCATTTTTTCGCTTAAAATATCCACTCGAAAATGTTGCAAATTTCAACGACCGTAAAATGTGAATGACTTTTGTTTTAAAAGAAGCTTTAACACAAACAAGATTTAACACAAACAATTTGAAAAAATATTACGGCACAAAGACGTGTAGATTATCTTTCACGAAATCAATGTTTTATACGGAGCACAGACGTCATTCGGTAAACTCAGAAAAAAAAAATCAGCTTGTGAGTCAGCATACATAAATTACGTTTCATGCTGTTCATATTTATATGAAATCAAGATACAGTTGAGAACGATCCAGTGAAAGGAGCTGGCAAATTTATTAACATACAATTAGAAGCAATTTGACCGCTTAACCAACTATCTCACTTTTCTTTTCTTTAAAAATCGAGTGTTTTCCAAGAGATGGGAGAAAAGAACATTTAAACGTTTAAACATTTAAACATTTTTCTTCTAATTGTCGAATTAAAGCTAAAAAGGAGGAGGAAGGTGTTAAGGAAGACTAAAATTTTTACATTCGGATGTAAGATGGCAAGATCTCTCGCCGACAAAGGTGCAAACACGACGCTTTTGTACGTAACAAAAGGATACGAGAACTGGTTTCGTCGCGAGTACACACGGTGTAAGCAACGGCCACACGCGTAAGCTGCTTTGTTCCCATGGAGTTTCTTAACTTGATGCTTGATAATAAACTCTACCAGTAATAAGACGCAACAATCGCAAAACGCAGGCAGATTATAAATAAGGCGCATTAACGTTAATTAACTCCATTTATTAGGTAATGCAATTTTGTTGATTAGTCGCGATTCTAAAAGCTACCTTCTCGCAATCTTGTTTCTTTTACGCGCGTAATATATGTGTACATACTTGTTAATTGATTTTATCAATATTTCAAGATGAATGTCTTTTCGCATCATCACTTTTTAATATTTTTAAGTATCTTGATACGATACTTTAGCAAACTGTCAATAACATGATAATTAAAATTTCCAATTTTCGTTTTCCATAATAATTGTATACAATAATATAAATAAGAGAGGGGTGCAATATAATCTAATGATAAGAAATTATTTTGTCTACAAATATATCATGATTTAATTAATATTTGAAAAACATATAACTGGATGTTTTTTAAAAATATTTCTATTATTTTAATATTATAATGTTATAAAATTATAATGATAGCACTAAAATCTATCATGTTTATTCTAAATAAGATATATTAAGAGAAGGATTTTTTAAAATGTGTTTTATTGTCTTGTTACTCCGAAGCTGAAAAGCCATCGGATTATTGTCAGTTGTCATGTCATCATCATTATCATTATGTTACAAAAGATGTAATATACATATGTATAAATTAGATGTTTTATGCTTTTGTATATACGAGAGGTCGAGAGGTTTAACGTTGGTTTATCGAGCTAGAAGGCACGGCCTTGGTTTCCCATAGTTACTCATCGACCGATCGTCAACATACCCGCAGGTCTACAGTTCACCGATCCCTAAAGTCCACGAGAGGCCAACGAACAAAAGATACATTATTTCAAGACAATAGAACAAGGGGGTCCTCGGTCAATTTTCGTCGCCATAAAACTTTTATCGATAAAATGATTATTCACGAATGACTCATAATTTTCAGTTATCAATATTTGCTACATTAGAAATTACACACTATATTTGATTATTCTTTATCACACAATTATCTACACTCGATATGAAAAGAATACAGTCAAGGATTATACAAGGACTTTATAAGATTGACAAGCAGAAGTCTCGTTTTTTTTAGCAAAAGAAGAGGCTTCTTTCCTTGATAATACTAAAAATTAAAGCTTATTACATTTCATTATGCATTTCATTTTAAAACAAGATTACACCAGGAATAAATTTTATATTTCTTTCACGATTAAATTATGGGGTCCAACTGGGTCAGATAGATTTAATTGGTCTGGCAGCGACTACCGCAAACGCGCGCACAAGGAAGCTGCACCCCGCGACTCAGCTGTATGAGTCATGAATCTTCCGTTCTCCAAGTAACAACATCGCTCTAGTTGCGGTATGGTTGCGCGCCGATACGTCGCCATGTAGCATAAATACGCTGCCAGCCAGAAATACCGGTGTTCGTGCAAAAACATGCAGGTTGAAGTCTCTCGAATGCGATGGATCACACTCGAGACTCGAGACGGACAATTTTTACGGTCTCTGAACGTTGCTTCCTTCATTGTCGCTCATGACTTATGCAACGAGGCTCCAAAGCTTGACAAAGAAAAATCCTGGACAACGGTACGATTATCAGAAAATGAATATTTTTGGAAGAGGCTTCAGGTTTATTTAAGAATTATCTTAAGTACAGTTATCTCATGTACAGTTATCTCTTAGAACAGCGTATCGATGTGCCCCAAAATTAGCAAGAAAGTCCTAATAAATTTTAATAAAAGGTAAGAGAAATTAATAACAGGCTTACGAGCCGTGTCCTTGTCCGCTTAAGCTTAATGTGTGAGACTATTCTCTATCGGAGATACACTGTCTAATAATATTGCCGGTGAAATGAGTCACAGATCCGTCACTGTCGTCGTTGAACGCGACGCCGATCGACGGACCGCATCTGCAATTTGCAAAATACAGCATGCCGCACGCGAACGAGGATAATTGCATACAGTTGCGTATTTTACTGGCGGTAATTCCGTTGCTATTGGACGATCCTTTCTAAAATCGTGACTCACGACTTCTGTCTAATTTCCGATCCTCCGCTCGTCCGAGTCTTGCAACACATCGAACGCAGCGTCAACGTCAATGATAAAGATGACGACATTTCGCGAAATAAAAATTCAGTAACAGTCACCGTGAATCGTCCATATATCATTGAGAATAGCCGTGAAACTTGCGACTGGCACGAATGCATTAATGTTTTCGATTTTGTCGGTCTTGTTACAGTAAAGCTTCGTGCCTTTCGTGCATAAGTATAATCAAGATACCAGCTTTTTCCGATAATATTAAAATGATAATAATATATTTATTTCTTTCTTAATCATTCAAATTTTTCACTAATTACATATAACCACATATGTATATTTATAGAGTATTTTTGCATATAATTTCTATAATTTTTAGTAGTGCAATTTTTGAGTATATTTGTGTAAAAATTTTTTTTTAAATCTCACAATTTAAGATATGTAAAAATGGATCTGACTGTTCCAAATTAGAGATTATTATTCTGTCGCTCGTTGATCAAATAGGTAAAGATACGTCCGACCTCCTCCCACATACATCCCTATCTTTCTCTGGACAAAGTTTGTATAACTTTCAAAAAAGTCTTTCTAAAATTATACAAACTCTATCAAGTCAGAATTTAGTCAAGTCCGAGATGTATACTAAATTATTCTGTATCGATGAATGAAAAAGATGCCTTTAAGAGTTAATAGCAGTGGATGATTTATAACTATGGATGACTTATCGATAGTTTAGTGCCAAGATACATAAACTTGTTAACATCACGCCAATTCAAGGATAGAGCGAATATCGGAGGAAAAAAATTGTTTTAATTTGTATAACTTATAGAACTTTCTCTCTTTGGGTCTGGCTGAAAATACTTTACGTAGATTCAGTATTATCTATAAGCGACAGTGAATGTGTGAGAGAACTGCTAATTTGAACCAAACTATGAAACGTATTTGCCGAGCTCTCTTGGATCCCTTGACTTCATATGACATGCACCATGTAACTTGTAAAGAGAAAATTTTTATAAATAGTACAAATAATTATTTGTACACCATACATAAGAATTCTTTAAAAGTAGATCGGCCACAAATATTGTGAAGAACCAGTGTCGTGAAGAAAATCCTTTAACAATTAATGAAGGGACACATTTTTCAGCCTAACGAATAATTGCTAGAATACAATATTTGCAGACTAGAAAAATATGTGAGGCGCAAATGGCTAGATCGAGAATTGAACCCGAGTCTTTCGCTTTCCGGGCAACTGCTCTAGACCACTGAACTATTCAGATCTCACACTTAATGCTGCTTCTTAACACAGTGATATACGACTCCAGAGCGATGTTGGTATCTCACTCGATGGATGCAATGCCGATTGCCACGGAGGATCCCTAAAAGGTCATTCTCTGATCAAATAAAATTATTTTTGAAAAGTTTCTATGATTTTTTTATACAAGATATATTTTTTGCCGCATTTCTTTGTCTATGAACAATGGATTGTAATTTATAAATGAAAAATCCACTATTTAAGAGGTAATCATGTAATCGCGATCGTAAAGTCCCGTCGACGTAATCGCGTATATAAAAGTTAGCGAATCGCTTGTATTTGCATTTAATCGCAAAGTTGTGTTTGCCGAAAATGGAACTCTAAACATTAGAAAATCAAAGAAAAAATCATTAAAAATATTGATTGTTGAATTTCACAGTTTCAAACTCTATTCTAACACTTTCGTTTGCTGTCGTAAGATTGCAATCGCGGTGAAGCGGATATTTCTCTTTTATTGCAAAACGCTCCGATCTCCGGAGCGTATCTAATCAAATTATTACGGTAAGATGAGTGAGATCTCCGTGTCACAAATGCGTACCAATGTCTGACTCAATGGATATTCCTCATACGTTTTCTGCACCGTCAGACCATTATCCCGTTTGAAAGAAAGTGAAACATACATGTATGTCTTGAAAACCAGATGTCAGTCGGGATATAAATGAAACCAAAAGTTTGAAATATACTAGATGCACCAATCATATATTTTTCTTGAAATATAATAGCAATTATTCACGCATATATTCCTTTCTCTTTCTCTTTCTCTTTCATTCGCGCGCACATACAATTCCTAGTTAAAGATCAAACTGTTAATAATCAGCATTCTTCTTAGCATATTCTCAGATATAATTGAAATTTTTTCGAAAAAATTTTGCACTATTCCAAACGATAATCATCGCGAAAAACC